TTAGACATACAGTTTCATGTGTACCAAGTAGAGAGCAACTAATCTACTGAATGACGAAACTATAAAATGTAGACAATGGTAATTTTCCATGCATTTAAAACAACTAAACTAGGTCAACCTTGGAAAGCATATTATGTGGACATATTTAGGCAAATAACTGTTAATAAAGAAAAATTAAAAATTTTATCCAATGTAAGATGGTTTCTTTTTCTTGTTTTTTTTCTAGCTTTCTATTCTGTACAACTATTGATTTTGATCATTTTATTGAGGGCTCTTACAATAAGATGGTTTCTTGAAGGGCTTAAAGCTATTTAAAATATTTTCTCTCTTGTTTGTGACTCAACAAACAAAAATTCGTTTTGCATAGTTTAAAAGATTAAAAGTCCAAATTCAGGACCTCGGCTCCAGGGGAAGGCTGACTGTTGGCTCGTCTCCATACTCCCGTGGAACTCACCCTGTGTCTTCCTATCAGGCTTCCCTGTGGCTGGGAGGTGCTTAGTGGGGGGACTTCAAGACCAAAGGACACACTTTACTCCCAGTTATTCTTTCTTGCTGATCGTCAGGGCCTCCAAAATATTTCCTCCCTCAAAATACTGTAAACTTAACTCTGAAATTATCTTAATATTATAGTTATCATAAATCCTTTTCCTTAGTCAGTAGAAAAGTGGTCATTGGTTGAGTCTTTGTCTGAATTGTCACCAATTTTAAGTTACAATGAGACATAACAAAGGCGAGAGGCTATTCAGAATTGCATGTCTGAATCCCACGGGCATGCATCGGCGGACTCTGAGTGTTCGCTTACCTCGGACTTTGAAATACTTCAGATGGTTTGCTACGGCCTCCGCGACACTTTCCTCTGGGCAGATTTTGACTCCATTAGGAAACAGAGCTGATCGCCTCCTTCTAAGTAACCAGCGCCTAGGAACCTCTCTGTCATCAAGAGGCTGTTTCTTTTCAGTAGATAGAGAAGGATCTGTGGATGCTGAGTCCGTGGGGAGGAAAGAAAATGCACTCCTGGATTCTGGGATCTCCTCCAGAGATAAGGGGGCTGGGGCTATGGAGTGAAACAGAATGAGGCTTCTGAGGGGAATGTGAAACAGCATGAAAGGTAACCCAAAAAACACTGGCATTACTGCAACCGGTGGGCTCTGGAGTCAACGCTAGGGTTCTAGACATGCACACCTCCAAGCAAGCCAGGAGGCGGTGTGCAATCTTTTTCTATTTAATTTCCATCCTTTTATTTCAGAATTATTAGTTACTAAAACCAAGTACACATCCAATTTCAATGCAAGAAATAAGGGAAAGCCAGAGATTT